AAACCTGGTCTACTTACATATTAGGTGGATGTATTAATCTCTAAGCCACGGGCTCTCCTCGCTTGGTTGCGTATACCAGTTGTGATGTTTATTCTAGTGAGGCCAGTCTATCAAGGCAACATGGTCTACCCAAATATGGGACGGGGCAACTGCCTCCGCATTCGACTTTCAACCCCAATCCCCAATTTTTGCGTTGGATTTACCTGAATTAGGTGGAGGTTAATACATATACCTAATACGTAGGTAGCCCTGGTTTGAATCCCAGAAGGGTATGACAGTAGCTAAATAGCTGTTGTCTATAGTATAGATCTATACTAGTTTCCCTTTATGGGACGCTGTGGCTCAGTGGCTAAGACTTTGAGCTTGTTGAACAGAGAGGTTTGCAGTTCGGAGGTTCGAATCCCTAGCACCGCATAACAGAGTGAGCTCCTCTTACATGTCCCAGCTTCTGCCAACCTAGCAGTTCGAAAGCAGGTGAAAAATGCCAGTAGAAAAATAGGGACCACGTTTGGTGGGAAGGTAACAGCGTTCCGTGTGCCTTCAGCATTTAGCCATGCTGCCCACATGACCACGGAGACGTCTTCAGACAGTGCTGGCTCTTCGGCTTTGAAACAGAGATAAGATTGGGGCTGAAAGGCGAAAGTGGAAGCAGTTGCTCTGTCCCATATTTGAGGAGACCAGGTCTCCCCAGAAAAACCACTTCCTTTTCTGAGGCCTCACTCCGGCTTCAGGCTCTCTCCTTGGCAGTGCCATGTCCCCTCTTGGGAGATGGGGGCCCTCTCCCCCTGGGTAGCTTTTTCTCAGCCCATCAATTGGTTGGTCTCCTCCTTGCCCAGAGAGACCCACAGGTGGTCTCTGCTCAGGTGAGCCACTGTTTTGCTGCACCTCCGCAGGAAGGAGGGATCAGCCTTGCAAACCACAGGCAGGCAACCTAATCCCTTGTGGGAACTGCACATCCCCATTATTGTCTGCAGATCTGCGGGTTGATCCAGACTGAGGTTTTCACCAGATCCTGGAAACCGTCTGGTGCAAGAAGCAGGTCTGGGCAGCCTTCTGTGGGCCGAGGGGAGGAGGCTGTTCAGGTATCGGGGGTGGGCTGGGTGGGAATCGGGGTTGAGAGTTTGCTTAAACAGGGCCTGGCCACTAGGATCAGACGCAGCATCGCTTCGCTCCAGGGCCGGGGCAGCAAAAAACGAGGACTGAGAATGGGGCCCTCTGCCTGCCCACTTTCAGCCGCTGAGCCCTGGGAAGATGGCTGGTAGGAAGAAGGCAGTGGGCGGCCACTGACCAAGGAACGAAACCCCTTCCGTCCTTCCTTGACTAGGTTGATCCGCGATGGGGAAGGATTTCAAGGATCTCCTGTGCTGCAGAACTGAGCCTCTTCTGTCCCAGAGCCACAACCAGCAGCCCATCCAAACCAGCAGGCAACCACCGTGCTTAAAAAGGTTTTTTTTTTAGGTCTACCCTATGGCTGATGGGTGACATTGTGGATAATTGAAAGTAATGATGTACAACATGAGTCGATGGAAAATTATTTTGTTTTGTAAGTCCAATAGATAGAGAGAGGTGTAAGGATTAGGGATAAGGATTTAAGGAAATAAGCTTTGTTTGAAATGAAGGAATATTAATGGTAACTTGAACACATAATGCTCAATGATAGCGATGAATTTAGTTATGTTTGATGGACAACCAGGGATCCTATTTCTAATTGTAAAAACTGATGCACAAAAGCTTGTAACCAAACGACATGCTTGAGGAAAGTTTTTTGTATGTGTTGTTTTGTCTTTGTTTTAAAAATAAAAAAAAAAATTTTTAAAAAAGGTTTTTTAATGGTCCGTCCTGTAGAAATCCTGGCTTCCTCCGGCAGCTTGCAGTACCTCTTCTATCCACCAGAGGACTCTCCTGTCTAGCGAATCATGGGGGGGGGACATTGGCTGCCTGCCTTGT